GAAGTGGAAAAGTATTTATATAAGTAGTGGTAAAATGATGAGTAATTAATAATAGAAGTGTTAATTAAACAGCAAATATTTACATAATAGTTAATTTATAAATTTCGATAATGTATTTGCGTAGTTTCCTAACAATACATAAAAGCAATGGGTATATATGGACTTGCACAAAAAACTTTTATCATTTAATAAATCTAAGGAATACAAGTATATAACGAAAACGAAAAGGAGTTGCCTGCTTCATAACAATAAAAAGTCTCGAATATCAAATCAACAACAATCAAAGAATTCTTGAAGTTTCCCTTTTGTGTATTATTATTAATAAGCCGATACTAAATTGCCCACATAAACGAAGAATAAGAGGAAAACAAAAGAAATTTACATCATTTTTTATTGTTGGGACATTTATTCTTTTTTAGTAGGCGAAACTCTGTGAGAACAAAATTTTTTTTTTCACGTCCCAATTGTTTGCGCCAGCAATATTTTATTACCATGTTTTACTGCTCTCAGACAAGATGTACTACAGTGCTTTCTCCACTCTTATGTCACTATTAAACTTTATTATATAGTAAACACGTAGCTAGAAAGGTTTTAATATTACGACGCGATAAAATGTCATCAGAAGAACTTAATATAAAAAGGGTGGGACTTGATTATTGTTTTTTACTGCTAACTAGATATTTCCTTGTAACTAAAACCGTGATAGTTGAATGATGTCACATAAATAATTTCCACAAGTATACTGACTTCTTAACATCTTCCTCCGCCCCTCTTTACTCCTGTTTCAACTACTATGTCTTTAACTAGCCTTCCATGTACCAAATATGTATATTACGCAACATCTTAAATGCCTCTAATTTTTTTTGTCGTACCTCAAACGTGTACTTTTCCGAAATTTCATAATATGCGTTCTCGAAGAAAGAAGTCATTCTTCGACCAAAGCGATTCGATCCTGTGAAGTTTTTTTGTTTATTATAGCTTGATCCCGTTTTCCACTATGAGCTATCCGACTAGTCATAGACAATCAGTTTATAATAGTGTCACATGTATTTAGGCAACCCAACATACACTGTGGCAATGAACACCAGGTTTATAGACGGCATATGCTGGATCATTCTAGAAGACGGTCAGTCTCTCTATAAATAGTTGTCGCGAGATCGAGTGTAGTTAGTACGAGAACGAATTCGAGGCGATACAAAGTAAAGAAGGAGGTCCATGCAATGTATAATAGTACAATATTTTAAAGTGATACTAAAAAGGAAAACATATTTCATGTTGGAAACGTTTCCGTATTCCATACTTAGCACGAACGTCATATTAAATTTAGCGCCATTTTTTGCCAAAAACAAAAAGTGAGCAATAAACAATGTCTACAATAAAAAGCAATACTGTTAGAGGATAAGCATACAATGAAAGAAATTAGATTAATCTAAACTGAAGCGTGTTATTAAAAAACAAACAAATATCCAACTAAAAAACTTTCAATATCAACACACACACACACACACACCGGTGGTATGATCAATAATAATGCAAAAACTGCTACCAAGACTTGTTAAAAACGCGAATTAGATACTGCACTACTTATTTGTTAGCAGATGGCGTCTGTAGTTTATTAAACACCATATCTGTGCCAAATAACATTTTTTTAGTTTTGCCAACGTTCATTTTCAACAGATATGCTTAAAATCACAAGATTGCGGTAGGAAATAGCAACAGAAACAAATTAAATGTTGTTATGGTCATGCCCTTCCTTTTGTTTGGTTGCATGACAGTTACCCGCTATCTTGTACCTATTATCTGCATGGATCCTCCGCGCTTTCGTCATTTAGACTATTAGCTGCATTGCAACATTTGATACCATCTTCAATTTCTTTTTATGCACAAAAACTTTAGACACTTGCAATAGCAATGCTCTTAAAATCTCTTATAAATTTTTTAATACATCTTCAGAAACAAAAGATGTACATACATGAGACGTTTTGAATTTTTGTGGAGTTGAATTCAATTCATTAGTAAATAATTTTTTTTTCCCCATTACAGATAACCTCAGATTAATTATAGCTTAGAGGTAGAGTACTGCTGCATAAAACTAGGGACCCGAGTTCTATTTCCCGGCTAGGGAGTGACAATAGTAACAGTTTTTACTCATTAACGAGATGTACTGTCTATTTCAATTTCTTAGAATTGTGACCTTGAAGAAATCTGCGCGAAGATAGAAAGAATGCACACTATGCGTGAGCAAGACATAAATAGTTGGAACAAGTTTGAAAGAGCAGGGCTCTCGATGGGCGGTCTTAGGAGATCGGCTAGAACTGTACAGTACTAGACGAAAATGTTTAGCAATTTCTTAAAACAAAAATGTATATAAAGTAACAATAGAAAACAAAGCAAAAGTTTTATAGGTGTGTAGAACGTTAAGTTAATTCACTTGTTATTACTTTTGGCTAAATATGCTTTTTTAAATAAAGCATATTCTTAAATTTTAACGAGGCAGTTTAAATAATTTTGCAAATGGTACTGTACACATTTGTCTAGTTCTCGCTCGATGATCGGTGGAGAAATGAGCTCCGCAGGCTAAAATGATTGAATTTGCAATTATGCCACGACGCATCCTAATAAAGGAAAGGGACATATCTCTAACATCTTGAAACGAACAGTACATGTTTGAGATCCTTTTACTTACCTCTCGCTAAATGTTTCAAAGAAGATTTCAACCTTTTGGTTAGAGTCATACGTCTTCGACCAACCGCCATGCCATATTGATCATTTATAGATTGGATTCTGGTAGAAGGTTTGAAATGTTGTCTGTATGCCTATTAATATTTGACAAGCCGTTTCCGTTCTAGCAGTGAGTAGAAACACCCTTCAAGAAATGTAGGTACTCATTAAAAACATAACCTTCTTTTAGGCAGTCGAGTAATAATTTACGAAGAAGTTTATTCGAGAACATGTAGCTACAAAGTATCTAAATATAAAATGAAGGTGTGTTTCTCATGTTTATTTTCTTGTGAGTTGTATCCGACATCGTACGTAAAATGAATAATTTTTGACAAAAGCCAGCTTCCATTGACCTCACGTCAGTCACGTTATTCTTGGGTTTCATGTCAACGTCAAGCATTTCGTTATTTCTAAATATTTATTATCTACATTCGGTGTTCATTCGCAAGAGGGAAGCCATTTAAAGACGTACATTTACTAAAAAATAATGTTCTCATTTCTTTTTAATGAATGAGATAACGAAGTAATAGGATTCTTGCAATATCCGATTATGATCCCGCTGTCTGCCACTCGAAAAAGCTTTTGTTATTGCGAAAATTCCCACGTGTTGTCAAATTTGACAGGGGAAACGGTTTTTTATTTACAAAAGGAAGAGACTCTTCTGTTCTTTTGTGTATACGGTTTGAAAGACAGACATTTAACTATACATACCTATTATATGTCAAAAAACACATCTCCATAAAAATTTCGACCTCACTTTTGGTTTTTTCCGCATACAATATTATTTTTATCTACATGACACCGACCTTTCTGTCCATGAATTAACCACGAGTTAATTTGAGATCAATGGTTATATGGTGGATATCCAGCGATTCTCAATTCACCAAACTTTGCACATTTACCTAGCCTGTAATCTTCGGTTTAACCTAGTGATATAATACCGGCTCTAGCTAACCCATTATACTGCAGTATCCATCCGACTATTATCCCTCTTATTACACATCATCATCATCATAAGGTTTTCAGTTCTAAGACTGGTTGGACACGTACCTCCATTCTTTCCTATCCTGAGCTAATCTTCACATTTCCCTAAAACTAGAACAACCCAGATCTTTAACTATTTGCGAACAGATAAAGGTCTACCTCTACTCTTGTTAACTCCTGTTTCTTCCTCTAACATGTCTCTAACTAGACCTTCATGTCTGAGAAAGTGTCCTACCAATCTATCTCGCCTATTTTTTATTGACTTCCATAGAATCCTCTGATCTCTTACCCTTTCGAATAACTCATTATTTCTAACCTTTTATATCCACGGTATCCTCATCATTCGCCTGTAATACCACATTTCAAACGCTTCAAACCTTTTCTTTTCCGCCGCGCCCACCGTCCATCTTTCTCACCAGTACAGCGCCGTGTTCCAAACGTACACCTTTAACAATCTTTTTCGATTTTCTAAATTAAGCATTCGCTAGCATAGAAGTGACTCTGCTTTATATCCCTACTACTCCTTCCGTCCTGACTTATATGACTTCCTAGATATCTAAAATCAGCCACTTCTTCTAATTTTTCGTCTCCTATCTTTATATTCGCTCATTTCTTTCCTTCCCTTGCATACCAGTATTTTTGTTTTACTGTAATTTATTTTCATAAAATACTGTTTTGTCAATACCGCTTCCATTTTATTTAAAGCTATTTCTAACTTCCCCTTGCTAAATGCTAGTACTGCTATATCATCTGCAAATCTAAGAATACTAATCTTTTGCTGCCGTATATTTATCCCTACAGTTGTACTGTCTTTAATGATGTTGATCGCGTTTTCGATGTGTAGATTAAAAAGTAGCGGTGATAGTGTACATCCCTGTCTGACTATTACTACATTGAAAAAAAAATGTTTGCTCAGGTGACAAAATATAAGTTACCACAAACAAAAATATTAGTAACTATAGTCTCAACACATTTTATTGTTCCCACAAATTATTTATTTGAAAAAAATTGATGTAGTAACTAATCATTTTGTTATTCGAACAACAACGGTTTGTCACTTTTTTCTACATACTGTAGTAGTTGTTACAAGAAACGTATATGCTATCTTGTATTTGTCAGTGATACTATCATCAATTGTTGGATGAACAAATAATGCTATTTAGCAAAAAAAATAATTTTGTTACAAGAACAAACTGATTAGGCAATCTTACAACTATGTAATAAAAAAAGAGAGTTCATTTAACTTACTTTTTATTTCAATGGATATTATATAGAACAAAACAAACGGAAAAAATAACAATTGAAAAAAAAACTTAAATATAAATGATTAAACATGTTTATTTGACACTGATCCGAAGTGAGACAAATAACGTCCCATCAGCAGTGGACATACAACAAATAGCCATTATCGACTGCTAGAATACAAAAATTCAGCGAAATTAAAAAACTTACATAAATGCTTCCACACCACTTCTACATACATCAATGATTATCCCACTTTGTACACAGATTATAGAGTTCTTTTTGAATCAGTACCCAGGTTTGTTCTGATTTCCGATTTCCTGTTGTTTTAATGTTTTTGCGTAATTTATTATTTGACTAGAAAATACTGCCCAATCAGAGGACATTTTTGTTGCGTTCTCAACGATAAAGTAAGTCGAAATCACGTTCGAGCTGTAAAATTATAAATATTATTTATTATTTTATATTATTAATATACCAGTGTATAACCTAGTGGTTGTTTCAGGGAAGGAAATTTTCCCATATATTCCATTATGGTACAATAATCTTCTATTAACCGACCCTGACGTAACAAGTAAGTTTTTCTCCATTTTTCTTCTATTTCCGGTCATGGGTCGCTACTATTTTCTAGCCAGATAATATATTCACAAGAAGAAACTGTAATTTAAATATGTAAAAACTGCTTCATTAACGTACCATCTAAACCGCTAATACTTTTAATATTCCGTAAAGATATTACCTATCTTCAAATTCCGAATCAGAAGTTCCAAATTCCATTCCTTCAACAAATTAGCCACTTCCATTTTTTGCTCACTACTTCTATTTGATGCATCTAATTCACATTAAAACCGAAAACGAAATGAATTTGAAACGATGTGTAATGTGCATCACGCAAGCGCTTAGAAATATTATTATAGCGTTCTTGCTTTCAACAAACTTATTTGTTACCAGAACAAAGTAAATTAATAATATTTCTTTTTTTTTGACAAACTAGTTTGTTATAAACAGTAAATACGCCTACAAATTCTTGCTTCTTAAGAAAACTATTGTTGTTTGTAAAGGTAGGTAAAGCAATTTTTGAAATTACTAAGTACTTTAGTTTAATTAAGTAAATATTTGTTTTTCGAAATAAAATCTATGTAACATATTTTATTTTGTTGTCAAGACCAATTCATTTTTTTCAGTGTAGTATATTTAACATCTTGTCCCATTTAACACTGTCAAAAGTTTTTTCTAAATCTACAAATACTATGAACGCTCTCTTTCCTTTTTCTATCGTCTTCTCTATTGTTACCCCTAAAGCTAGAATGGCCTCCCGTATTCCTCTATTTCTTCTAAACCCAAATTGATCTTCCCCTAATAGTTCTTCCACCCTTTTTTCTATTCTCCTCTGCACAATTCTAGTTAAAATTTTTGACGCATGGGAAGTTAAGCTAATTGTTCGAAATTCCTCGCACCTATCCGCGCCTCTCTTTTTATGTGTTATTACTACCACGTTCCGTTTATAATCCTTTGGGACTTTCCCTGTGTCGTAAATATGACTAACTAGCTTAAACATACAATCTCTAACCTCTTGTCTTGCATGTTTTAGAATTTCCCCTTGTATCTAATCTACCCCTGGCGTCTTATTATTCTTTAAGTTTTTTAATGCCACATCGAACTCTTCTCTCATTATGGGATAACCTTACACAGGGAGATTTTATTTACGTTTTGTGTTTGATGATACCACAATTGATACGCAGTCGCCCATCGCTGTGCGAACCGCTGCGCTTCCTTTCTTTCATTAATGATGGTGCTTTTTCTCTTCGGTTAAATTAATACCCCCATCAGAATGATGTTCTGCCACGCGAGCGGTTCATGGTAATCGATTCACTAATGAAATATCTTTTTTATTTTATTTTTTCTTATTATAGGCAAAGTACATAGGTCAACTATCGACCCCACGCGATTTCTAGTGAGGATAATAAGCAAGAACCTAGAAAGAAAGAACTGACTACATTCAGACACTACAACTAATTAATATTTTCATCAGAATAACACAAACAATAATTTTTCAGAACATTCACAAGGCCTATTATGGAATTTATTAACATAGTATCAAGTATTCTTATTATAACTTCTGAATGTAAATAACATTTTAAACTTTGAATTGTAATGTGTAATTGTAATAAAATGATTCTGACAATTAGAAGCACAGTATGTCAAGACAAATCCATGAACTTGGCCAAGTGGCTATAGGTTAGGTTAACAGATTCCTCGATTTTATACACCCATTAGTGAATAATTAAGCTGACTGTCAATGCGTTAATAAGATGATTTGTATTCTTTTTTACGAATTCTCATTTACATGTAGTATAAATACTTGTCGGTAAATAAACTACAATTTATAAATAAAAGTCGAAGTGTTTGTTAAAATATTATATATAAAAGAAATTATGAGTGTTGTCAGCGCACGGCAAAGTAGTATTACGTAGTTAGTATCAGCAATTTCTTATGCCGAAGTGTACGAAGTGTTGCATACCTATTTACAAACGATTCCTTTAAATTTAATTTTTCAGTGTTTAACACAAAGAAAATCACCACTGAAATCAATGGTGTTAACTGTTTCGAGCTCACAGTGACTGATAAGGGGGAAGAACCTATTTTATTAAACTTTGGTTTAGAAGCAGCTTCTTCCGAAAAGACAAAATTAAATCCGGCCATAATTGTACGTTTCGCTTGAATCTTCTATTTAGTTTCGACAAAGTTTTAGCTACGAAAAACTCGACTGAGATTCTTGGATATTCAATTGTCTTAAACTACCGTCTTCATCTGAAATAGTAGCACGAAGTTTCGAGTATTATTTGCATCAATGTTACATAATGGTTATTAGAAAAGCATTATGCGATGATGGGATGGATTCTTGCAATAAATTCAAAACATTAGTAAACTTTCGGGTTCTTCCTCGATTACTCCGTATAAACTAAGAAGCTGTGTAAGGTGGTTATGCCAAGTAAAGTGGCTGAAGGCAAAAAGTTCGTTTTAATGCAAGTATTATGTTCAAATAGGCTGCAGAGGACTCGAGTTCGATTCTCGGCAAGGATTGACGGCAGCAACAATTTTTCCTCATTAATTTGAGGTTATGGGTAAAATTAACTCACTAATACAGTCAATTAACGCTACAAAAATTCAAAGTATTTTATGCATCGAGTTTACCACCAAATTAAAGGCTCAAATACGCACGATCCGAAAATATGAATTTTATTTACATTAAGGATGTTTGGGAGGTACAATTGGAGACAAGAGTAGGTACATAAAATTAGAAATTCTTATTAATTAGATTTTGCAGCATATCATGCGGTAGATAAATACTATCTATACTAAAAAAAACGTATACGGTTTGCGAGAAAATTTGGAATTTGACAAAAAACTTTGAATTGAATTTGAAATTTTTTAACTGACTTTTGACAGTGAATATGCCTTGATTTCAACTTCAAAACAATAAAATATTTAGTTTCAATCTCTATTAATAATGAGCGTAAAACTTTTTAATATGTTTAAATATTAATTAAGACTTTAAAATTGCATTTATTTCAGACAATTATAAATATTATCATTATATTATCAAGTAAAAACGTGATTTTCAGCAAATTTTTCATTTAGTGAATTTGAATAACCTTACGCTAAAGTGATTCTCCAGAGTTCAAGTTGCTTGTTATAAAAGTTTGAAATTTCTGGTAGCTTTTTCTCTGTTAATAAAAATAAATTAAATCTGTTCGATTAACGAATCTCCATAAAATGACGTGTAAAATTACAATTTTTTAAAATTTCAATAGTTCTTTAAAGGTTTAGTGAATCTATTTGTAATTTTTACAGGAGTTTTATAATAGAATGATTTTCTCGTAACATTTTGATATACCTCCCAAACATCCTTAAAACGTAAAAGTCAAATTCGACCCACATTTACAGACAGTTCCTTGAAAGAGTGACCAGTGCAAATTCTGCTTTAATTTAAGTAACAACAATGCTTTCTTTGTGAAATGTGACAGTCCTGTCTAGACGACAAACCTCCATCAAATGAGAAGCTTTCCGTTTGAAATAGAATAGAAGATTCTCATCACAAAGTGTCCATTTTGAATCCTCCCACACTCTTATCAGGTGTTCCAAAATAAAAATGAACCAATGTAACTGTCATCGCCTGAGCCCACATTTCATAACGCAACAACAAATACGTATCTCTATAGAAACACATAAACTTTGAAGGAATATAAGGATGGGCAACTAAGAAAACAACTTTTTTCCCTATATATAGATATGAAATGCATTGACATTTAATAGTGGTTAATATCAAATACTAGCTTTTCCCGGCGGCTTCGCACGTACAAATTTACATTGTTTCTCCTTAAAACCTTTTCACTATCAATTCACCCATACAACGTTTTAATTTTATGTAATGTCGCCATCTTAGATTTCAAATACAAACGTAGCAACAACATTTCATCCTTAAGGGTTGGTTTTTAAAAATTGCCAAAACACGTATTTGTTTAATTTCAACAATGAGCAACCCTCGAGTAAATCCGAGTACAAATAACATTATACCCCATAGAAACGTTGCAACCACTTTTCATTTGAATAATAATATCAATATACGAAGCTTCAGGTAAATTCAACCACAAATAAAGTAAGTCCCAAATAAAACTTGCAACACTTTTTCACACCACCCCTTTTTGGAGGTTGAATTTGTTAAAATGTTGAGATAGGTGAAAATACCACAAATGGTGCGTAAACGCCACCTGTAGTACGATGCTACATTTTTAGGATTACGTATGCCCTAACATGTTCCATTTCAATATATGGATGTCTACTTGCTGAAACGAATCCCGGCGTAGCTAACCTCACTAGAAGTTGGTCTGTGTTCTGTCGAAGCTGTCTGCTACGCGCTGATGAGATGCAAAAAGATCGAAATCGCCATCAGCGTCTGGCAGTTTCGACAGAATACAGACCACTTCGAATTATATTAGTCGAAATAGGTCTTTCAGACATTAAATGAGAGACCATTAAGACGAAATTTCAAGTAAACCTGACCACAAATAATATATATTCCATTTAAACATTGCAACTCTTCTTCACCACTTATCCCTCCCAACAGAGATTGAATTTTTTAACCAGACTAATTTTATATGAAAAAGCATTAAAGCTAAATTTCAGATAAATCTAACCATAAATAAAACACCATACTTAACCATAGAGAACATTACGTTTAACTGTCAGTTGCGTTTTGTCATTCCATGTCAGTTGCGTTTTCATATACCACGTCTTTTTATTCCACGGGAACGAGATAGAAGGTATCCCATGTCCGCCTCCTGGTTCTAAACTACCTCCCCACCAATTTTTAGTCAAATCGGTTCAGCCGTTCTTCAGTTATAATCAATGTAACTAAAACGACTTTCTATTATATATATATAGATTGTTGTCAGACCCTCGCCGGGAATCGAACCCGGGACCTTTGGCTTTACGCACTAATACTCTGAGCACTAAGCTACGAGATATGACAACAGCAACCACAACAAACCGAGCCTACGAGCTTACAGATCCGTCGATTTTTTAACGACAAATTGTACTTATTAGATCACAGATCTGTCGACGTAATGTAATTATATTAGTACTATATATTCGAAACACTTTGACATTTAATAGTGGTTTATATTAAATATTAATGAAAATTCGTTTTCAATTTTTTATCCACTACAAACCACCTCAGGTTAATAAGGAAAAATTTGTTGATGTTGCCACACCCTCACCAGGAATCTCTCGCAGCTAAGTGGTCAGAGCATTGGTGCGTAAAGCCAAATGTCCCGGGTTCGATTCCCGACGAGGATATGACAACAGCAACAAATTTGAGGTAGTTTA